CAGTGTCTGTTATGTCCAGAGAGGTTTCCAGTGGGGAGAAGAGGGGGCATTATGGCTGCTGGAAGGATTCCAGAGAGTTTGAAACAATCGTGTTAGTGGATCCATTCACTTGTTCATTCCACAAATACATGCTGAGTGACTGCTGTCTTACTGACACTTGGCTCAGCCCTGAAGACAGAGCAGAGCACAGAAATCTTCCCTCTTGGAGCTACATTCTGGTGAGGGACCTTACAAGCAGTGACCCCAGTCATTATTTACATGACAGTTTCAGGAAATTGTGGTCCAGGCTGCTGTGCGAGGTGTCACGAGGTTGTGTCTACACCCCTCTGAGTCCCCATCCAGCCCTCCATCCTGTATAACCCGGACTCTTACTGAGCAGAGCAGGACGTATTACATGACACCGACCTCATGGGGTCAAGTTCTTGTTAGCTGAAGTGAACTGACACATTGAGAATTAGGTGCATATAGGTTGATTTTTTATGGCGTCTCCAGCGCTCAAGCTGGGAGAGAAGGCTTTTGGGGAAATGATATTAAAAGCATGTGAAATATCTTTAGACAGACGCCTGCAGAGTCGGATGGACTGGCTGGGTTAACTCTGAAGAGTCTGAACTAACAAAAGCCACCCCCAAACAACACAACGAGTGCAGAGTAATATTGCTTATGCTAAGTCCGTGTGCACTAAAGAGGCTCTGTGGGAGAAATGGGGGGGTGTTGAGGGGGGCCAGTGGACAGGAGGGATGAGGCATGCAGACGGGGGGGGGGGACACTCCCTGCAGAAGAAGGCGAGAGCCCCGCCCCCAGCCCTGCTGTTCTTCCCTCCTCTGGCCTTGGCTTTGGCACCGCTCCTCCCCAGGCTGTTCTGAGCTTCCTCAAGGCCCCACCTGAAAGACACTCCCACATGCACAGAAGAGGTACACACCACATGGAGGGGGTGGCTGAGAGGCAACGGACAAATTTTCACATTGCAGATAGACAGTAAAAGGGTGTCCTAGGTTAGGAGTGACCATAGTTAACCCTCAACCATTTAAATGAGCACAGGCTACAGGAAACCCAGAGACTTTTTCTACGTAGTTTTGGAATGCAATGTTCTTCCTTACTAGACTTATCCTGGCTGATTGGGAGTCTTCTGAGGGCAGAAACTATGATTAATCTTTTATTCTAGTAAAAAAGTAACTTGTTGATAAGAAGGATGCTGTATTCATCTTTGCTGCATAAGTTAAGTAAGTGATATCCTGACTCAGAAGTGTTGGGGGGACAGACATAGAAATAAACTTACGGTAGCCAAGGGTCGGAGGGGGAGTGGGAGGGAAAGGACGGATAAACTGGGAGCTCAGGATTAGCAGATACACACAACTATACATAAAACAGGTAAGCAACAAGGCCCTACCGTACAGCACAGGAACTATATTCAATAGTTGCTGTGGGTCTCAAAGAAAGATGGTTTTCATTGAAATTGCTTCTACAAAAGCTACTTTTCCATCTTATTTTCTATAAACTGGGGCTACAGAAGGAGGACAGAATAACTTGTCCAAACTTCATGATTAGAGGCCAATGTTTTCATTTTCTAAATGTTTTCCCATGTTGCGAGAAGTGAGAACTTCCTAATTAAGTGAATCATCCTTGTAGGTTCTTCTTATTTTCAGATTGGGGAGCATTGTTAAGTGATGTGGAATTCATAGGGACCAATTTTTTTTGTAAGCTGACTGGTTCACACATTGAGAATTTGGCTCAAATAGGTTGAATTTCTTACTGCTTTTCCAATTCTCAAGTCGGGAGAGGAGGCTTTCGGTGATACATGAAAAGTGGTATCACAGAGTTTGGTTAATCTCGTGATGATGGTGGTGGTGATGATGGTGGTGATGGTGGTGGCAGTGGTGGTAAAGGAGAGGAAGGAGGAGAAGGGGAAAGAGGAGGAGGAGGAAGAAGGTCAGAAGAGCTACCAACATAGCTGTTGTTCACATATCCCCATTACACTGGATTTATTGGTTGACCTGGTGACAATACTGATTATTTTCCTTAATACTAGCAATATTGTGAAACTGCAGAATATTCTGAAAGAATTTCCATTTGGTCTTTTGTGCCAAATCAAGAATTTTCACCTGGGTAAGGCCTTGTCATTTTGTTCATTTTTCTGGACCCTGAGCACTTGGCAAGCAAGACAGGAATTCAGAGCTGTAGGTTTTTAATGACTTCAGCAGGAGGGTTCCGCCCAGGATTTCTCTGCCCCCTTCCCACTGAGACACTTGGATTGACGTTTTAAGTTGTTTACCCAAAAATGAATAAACAAAACCCAGTGACAACATTGCCTCTTCTTTCATCTTACTATCTTGAGGCAATCAACGTTTTAAAAGTTACCATTAATTCATCTTCTATATTTTGCCTTCTTAGAGAGAGCGGAAAAAAAAAAACTAAAGCGCACTAACTAGTTTAAAGAGATGATGCAAACAAAGCAGGCTTTTTCCTCCCCATGAACTGTGTATATAATTACTTGAATCACGTTGAATTTCACCCATATGCTGGGGAAGGAAAAAAACCGGCAAAAATAACTACTGTGAATTCAAACGGCAAGTGAATGGAACCGGCCTCATTCATAAACGTCATATGAAGCTTTGGTTAAAAAGGCAAGTCTGTCATTCCGGGGACAGCAGCTGTTGTTATGTTGAACAAAATGGATACAAATGGGTATTATTTTAAAGTGAAATGCTTAATTTCAGGCCTCACAAGCACACTGTCCTCTGTGTAAGCCCTGTGTCACACGAGCCATGATCTCCAGTAGAGGGCTTGATTGCACAGGAAATCACGCTCACGGGCTGTGGCCGACCGGACCAGCAGACACACTGGCAATGTTTGAGTTACTATGGCAATCACAAAATGGGAAGGCCTTTTCTTCTTTTCCCCATCTCTGCATGCAGCCGCAGCCTGCTCCTGAATAGGCCACATCTGCAAAAAGTTTTAACACGGTACTCAGATAAAGAAAGGATCCCAAAAATGAGCACTGACCCGTCTCAAAAAATGTTGCAAATTTTACACACAAGAATTGGGGAGCCGGGCCACTTTGCACAGGTTATGTCATAGTGCACACACAAAGGGATAAAAGTGCGTGAAGGCTTTGGCTGTCAGATATTGAGAGGAGGGAACAGCAGAAGTAAATGACAGCTTAAATGCAGATGTAAGGAGAAAAGTCAAAGATGGGTGACAGAAAGTTACTGGTCAATGAATAAGGGAGAAATTTCAAACACACACACACAAAAAACCAGACAAAAGGGTAAAATACAATAAAATCTATCTATAGAGATTTACTGAGAAAACCCCCCAAAGCATATTTAGCAAATCTTAGAACTATGAAGCCCTGTGAAACCAACACATGGCCCTTCAGACGGGGTCTTTGTAGACTTTCTGCGCCCATCACTGTGTGCACGCAGCTTACAGACAGACGAGGGTGCTTCCAAACAACAGCAGAGCCCCCCTGGGGACCGATATTTTAGACACAGCTTGGAAAAATTTGCTAATAAAAAACTGCATAAAGACAGGTATTGAGAGTCCCTGGAAACAAGCCTTCCTTGGAACTGAGGGACTGGCTTACCCTAATTCTTGAGTTCTTTTAGGTTGAAAATATATTTTCCCCTCCCCCTCCCCCTTCCCACCACTACACCCTCCACCTCCTTACGCACTTTAAAATCTGACACTGAGATTTTACTGAGTCTCCTCCTCTCTCCTGGGTTTCAAGGTGGTGGGGAGTTTTCTGGAATGGAGTCCTTGGCATGAGGGGCACCATCTTTAGGCTTCTGAAGAACCTGGATCTTCCCCCCGACCTGTGGTTTATTCCCCCCCGCCACCCTCTCCTCGGAGCCACAGGAGCAGCTATGATGTACTCCCTCTGGAAAAGTCCAAGTGCTGAGAAGAAGCAAAAGTACTGAAATTAATCTTCACTTCTTTTAACTTAAAGAGCTATTCATGGCGTGAAAGCAGTTGGAAAAGACTTGGGTGGGTAGCGGACTGAAAAGTCGCCATTTGCAAGAGTTGAAACTAGAGGGAAGAATACTTTTAAGTAGCATGAACTCACCACAAAAAGTCCACAGCGCTGAAAGGCGTCTAGAGTCCAGTAAAACTGACACAACATTTCACATTCATTGACTCTTGTTCTTTAGGGGGAGTTTTCGTATGAAGAGAAAGAGACAATGGAAGACAATAGTGCTACCTTATCAAAGTTCATTCATGCAGCTACTTCACATACTTTTAACTGCTTGTCAATAGGTCTTGCAAGTCTCTGAGATTCTAAACGTTCTGTCGCATTTGTGTACTAACCACTTAAAGTTCTGCTAAAGCTTTGTGACCTGGACTGCCTCCCCTTTATGTGGGTCAAAATGCAAGGCGAAGCCATTGTGTAAAACGGCCTTCATTAAATTCATTGATTTGACCTGTATTTTAAAGACCAAAAGTCAAATGGAATGGGAAGTTAGAGTTCCCATACAAAACCTTCTCCTGGCCACTTTTCGGCTTCCTTGAACTCTCTGCTGTGGAGGCAAAGGACATTTTCAGGCTGTTTGGAGTCCATCTTGCAGCTAGATGAGGATTTTCCAAGGAAAGTTGGTGGTGGTTTTTAATTTTATGCAAGGGTGAACCAAACGCTAAGGTTGAAGTAAGCCACTGTCTTGAACTTGATTTTCATCTCGAAGGAGTAGTTTTGTCCACCTTATCCAGCAGCCTTACAAGGCCACAGCTAAGGCTGGCCCATCTGAGACTCTGCCCAGGGGTATCTGCTCAAACTGTCTGAGTGAACTGTCATTCTTTTAGTCAATGCGCGCTTTGGGGCTTAAGATGAGCTTCAATTTTCTTTTGGACATTTGGAGGCATCTTTTTCTTGCGAGTGTTTTTTATGGTAAAAATGGCCACAAACACGCTCATTTAGAGTGTGGGTGTAGTGCAGGCGAGAGGGAGGGAAGGGAAGGAATTTCTGTTGTTTAAGCCCCCCCAGGCTGTGGTCCTTTTTTTTTTTCAAATGGAGACACCGGGGATTGAACCCGGGACCTTGTGCATGATGAGCACACGCTCTACCACTGAGCTGCACCCTCCCCGCCGTGGGTACTTTGTTGTGGCAGCCTTAGCAAACTCTTACACTGGAGTTCCAGTGTTGCAGGCCAATGCTAGTTTTTGTTTGTGTTATTTTTATCATTTTTGGCCGCCATAAAACACTGCAGACTCATACTGATGACATAAAAACCCTAAGAATTTTTTATGTAATCTGTTCATGTTCTAAGATAAAGAATATGGCCTTTGCCCCTAGTTACTAGCAGATGACCTCTAAGTCCTTGGGATCTGTTGAGTGATAGGAGTGTCTTCGCTATTCGTGGTGGGCCCTTCAACCACACCTGAGTTTATGCTAATGAGGTGATTCAGGACGGGGACTGGAGACTAGAGGGCTGGGACTTTGAGCCAGCCTGACCCCTTGGGAGGTAAGGAGGGCTGGAGATTGAATTTGATCACATGGCCAACGATTCAATCAATGATGCCTACATAATGAAATCCCAAAGAGAACTCTGAACGCTATAAAATCTCAGGACGCTGAGGCTTGGGTGAATTTCCTGGTTCACCAGGAACTTCGATGTGCCAGGAAGATGATATATCCTGATTCCAGAGAAAAAGGGCATGGAAGCTCTGCATTCAGAGCCCTCTAAGACCTCATCCTAGGTGTCTCTTCATTTGACTCATCCTGATTTGTATCCTTTATAGTAAAACTGTAATCATAAGCATACGCACAGTCCTTTTCTGAGACTTGTGAGTTGTTATAGTAAATTATCAAACCTGAGGGGATCGTGGGGACCCCAAATGTAGAGCTGGTTGGTCAGGAAGTATGTATGGCCTGGGGACCCCTGAACTTACAGCTAGCATCTAAACTGAGGATAGTCCTTTTGGTGACCGAGCCCTTGAATCTGCACCAACTCTGGGTGGTTAGTGTCAGAACTGCACTGCAGTATTGCTGTTTACAAGGCAGGATATTCCCAACCAGTACTTAGGCTGTTAATTTTCTTAAAACATCATTCATTTCTTTTATTCTGATTGCAAAGTTATATATATCTATCATAGAAAACATTTTAATATAGAAAAATATTGCAGAGAAAATAAAAATTAGCTATAATCCCATACGACTGAAGAAACACAATTCACTTTAGTTGAATGCTGTTGTCTGTTTACCTATCTGCTTAACAAAACTGGAGTCATACCACATCTTTTTGATTTGTAAAGTGTGATTTTTCACTCAGTATTATATTAAGATGTTTTCCCACATTGATAGAAACCCCCTACAGACATTTTTAATGACTGCATAATTTTCCATCCCATGTATGTACCATAATACATATAATAATTCCTCTATTGAACATTCATTTATTCAAATATATTTGTTGAGTATCTACTATATATTAGGTACTAGAAACATAGTAATAAACATGACAGATCAAGTCTTTGTCCTCCAGGAGTTACTATTCCAATGGGGGAAATACAAGAAAATTTTTTATTATTATTATTTTTTGCCACTGGGGGAGGTAATTAGGTTTATTTATTTTTAAATGGAGATTCTGGGGATTGAACCCAGGACCTCATGCATGCCAAGTATGTGCTCCACCACTGAGATATACCCTTCCCCACAATGGGAGAAATTTTTTAAATGAGCAATTAAATATGTAATATGGTGTCAGATTATGACAGTTGTATGAAAAAAGATGAAGCAGGGAGCTGTAGGTTAAAATAATAAATTAAACATATGCATCCAATTTCACCCCTCTGGAAACACCACTAAAACCATATAAAGTGATTTTTCTGAGACATATCCCTGACTCTGAGTGAAGGAGAGGAAAGAAAGGTAGGATGGAATGGGAGCAACCTAGACTGCCCTGGAGTCTAAGGAAGGTTTGAAAAAGCTCTCATGGACTTCTCTAGTCAAGGTCAGCTGTCACTCTTAGAAGAACACATATGGCTAAATCTCATGGCGTTGGGTTTGGCAAAGGGTTCTTAGCTATGACCCAAAAGCACATGCAACAAAAGAAAAAAAAAGGTAAATTGGACTTCATCAAAATTAAAACTTTTTGTACATCAAAGGACATAATCAAGAAAGTAAAAAGACTATCTATATAGTGGAAGAAAATATTTACAAGTTATATACTTATCTGATAAGGAATTTGTAACCAGAATATGTAAAGAACTCTTACAACTCCACAATAAAAAGACAAATAACCTGATTAAAACATGGGCAAAGGATCCAAACAGACAGTTTGCCAAAGAAGATACACAAATGGCCAAAAAGCATGTAAGAAGATGTTCTACATTGTTAATCATTAGGGAAACACAAATAAAAATCACAATGACGTACCACTTCACACAGACTAGGATGGCTTCAATTTTTTTTTTAAAAAAAGGAAAATAACAAGTGAAGAAATGAAGACATGAAGAAATTGGAACCCTTGTACTTTGCTGGTGAGAATGTAAAAAGGTTCTGCTGCTATGGAAAACAGCTTGGTGGTATCTTAAAAAGTTAAATATATAATTACCATATGACCTAGCAATTTTATTTCTAGGTATATACTCCAAAGAACTGAGAAGAGGTACTCAAGCAAGTACATGTATACACATGTTCAAAGCAACATCATTCACAATAGCCCAAAGGGTAAATAGTCCAAATGTCCATCAACAGATAATGGATGTACAAACTGTGGTACATACGTATGATGGAATGCAAGTCAACTGTAAATGAGAATGAAGTACTGACACACACTATAAGACGGATGAACCTTGAAAACACTGTGCTAAGTGAAAGAAGCCAGACACAAAGGGTCACATGTTGTATAATCTCATTTATATGAAATATCCAGAATAAGTAAATCCATAGAGATAGAAAGCAGACTGGTAGTTTCCAGAAGCTGGGGGGAGGGAGGAATGGGGAGCAACTGCTTACTGAATATGGGGTTTCCTTTTAGGGTAAAGAAAACATTTTGGAACTGGACAGAGGTGATGGTTGCACAACACTGTGAATGTACCAATTGCCACTCAATTGTTCGCTTTAGAGTGATTAATTTTGTTACGTGTCACCTCAAACAAAAAAGAATGGCAAAGGATTAGCTAAGAGGAAAATAAAAGTCAGCCATCAGCTAATTCCCGTGCCTCTAGGGAATGTCTGCTTGAGTATTCCTGTTATGCTTCCTTATTGGCTGGGAGCAGCCAATGGGAAGAGCAGCCCAGCCCCAAATGCAGTGACAGATGGCAGAGTGTGGCAGCTGGGGCCTGGGTTAGTTACACACCCTGTAATTGGAGCTCTGCTAGTTACACCTCTTGGCTACCAACTCTCTGTTCCTGGGTTGCTCCTCCTAGGTTTGCTGGGTTTGAATTTCAGCTCTTCCATTTACTGTAGGACATTGGGGAAGTTACTTAATCTCTTCATGCCTCATTTTCCTCAACTGAAATATAGGGTGAAATTAGCTAATACTTGAAAGTGCTTGCCACATGACAAATGGTTCAATAAATATGATGATTATAGTAGTACTCAAAATGTCATTCTCCACTTAGAGATTAGATACATTTTTTCAAAAAATTTTTAATTCTTTTATTTTTATTTTATTTTTAAATTGAAGTATAGTTGATTTACAATGTTGTATTAGTTTCAAGTGATTCAACTGTACATATATATATATATTCTTTTTCATATTCTTTTCCACTATAGTTTATTACAAGATATTGAATACAGTTCCCTGTGCTATATAGCAGGTCTTTGTTGTTTATCTATTTTATACATAGTAGTGTGTATATGTTAATTCCAAACTCTAATTTATCCCTCCCCCTAGATAAATTTTATTCTAGTTTATTATGTCTTCATTTTTAATGCAACACTTTAATCCATCAGAAATTTACTTTTATGTTTGGTGTGAGGGTCCAAATAAATCTTTTTTCCAATTTTTTTCACAGCAATTACTAAATAAGTCTCTTCCTTGTTGACCTTTTAATATTTAATTTATCCATATGTTGAGTTTATATGTATACAAGGATCTGTATGTCACCTATTTTTTCATTAATCTTTTTGTCTATTCTTGTACTAGGAAACAATTCTATTATTGTAATTTTATAATACATAAATCATCAGCCCTCATTAGCCTCTTTTTCCAAAAACTTCTTAGTTTTCTCACGTTTATTATTTTATCTAAACTTCGAAATTTTTAAATGCCAAATCTCAGTGTGATTTTGATTGGAATAACATGGAGTTGCTTTTATAAGGGCACTAATCCCATTCATGAGGGCGGCATCCTCATGACCTAGTCACCTCCCAGAAGCCCCGCCTCCACCACATCACATGGGGGGGATAGGTTCCACATGTGAATTTTGGGGAGACAAAAATTTTCAGTCTATAGCCTCTGAACATTTATGCATTGGTCCTTTATATCTCTCAATAAAGATTTGTAGTTTATTACTTTCTGTGTAAATACTACTAATTGCTTATTAGCATTATACCTAGATGTGAGTGTGTGTGTGAGTGTGTGTGTGTGTGTGTGGTGGGAGGAGGTTGCTTCTACCATAAAGAGATTTTTTTCCCATTATGTGTCTCACTGATTATTTTTACACTTAGAAATGAACCCAGCTTCTGGGATATCCAAGGTGTCCTTCTTAGCTGATAAAACAAACAGAAAAAACTTGATTTTTTTCTTTATCAACTATTGCTACCAGGTAATACGCAGTAGACTTAACATCCAGAAACATTAAACCCTTACAGTAAGTAATCCAGGACAAATGGCTCCTATAACACTGTGTCCTACTCAGCCTTCGTCCAGCTAAGCATGGACACCTGCATTTGGGTCTTTCTAAATATTACCAATGGAGAAGCTTAAGGACGGAGGGACTTGATGATGATGCCATCAACAAATACTACCTCCCACTTTTATAAAGAAAACACTGTTGCCAGAGCTATCGGCTTCTGCTGCAAACTCTCCTCTGCTCCTCAGGCACTGAGACTCCTGGAAACAAAAGCCGCTGGGGCTCAGGCAGTGGAGCTGCCTGGAATAAAGCCCCGGAAGAGAGACGCCGGCTGCAGG